CAGCTATACAAGTCCTTTCTTAAATAAAACTAGTTTATTCTTTCTCAATACAACTTTGCAATACACAGAATTTCCACAGTCATTTTAACTTAAACACACGCTATAATTCATAACGATTCACGCACTTTACTTCGGGTCACTACAGCTCGCTTTACTCAATTACCTGTTTATTTCCCTATCTATCTGCAATTATATCTCCGCTTTATTTGCCGGGCTTATATACAAAAAAGAGGGCGCCTAGAACAGACTAGAGTTCCCAGGAAAAGTCATGATCCTTCTAGAACCTCATCACGTGTTATCTGCGTCACGTGACTTCCGCTGTCGTAAGAATATCATGTATGTTCAAGGAAGAAATGACAAGCCACATTAAAGTAATTTTACAGAGAATATAAAATGCTTCCAATGGTACAACCGGTCTTTGGCGTTCCATTTTTCGATTATGTTTAGCTAAAACCTTTTTAATGAATCAATATGAGTGATGTAGTACTGAGGGATTTAAACCTTCTCAACGGTATTTATGTCTTAGCGGCTGCTATCTAGTGAGTCACAACACAAATAAAATATAATTCGACTCTACCTAGAATGACAATACGTTATGCCACTTTCAAAATTTTGGCATGTATTTTATCTTACTAAAAAACAAAATATTTATCATGCATAAGATTACTGTTTTTTTGTAATCAATATAAGCCAAACTTTCTATCAATCAGTGGGTATAAAATGATGAATATAATTTTACATAGTTTTTCAACGTTAAGTGGTTCAGGTTCTAAAAACGATTTGTTATATTTCTTGTCATGAGGAAAATGTTCTACATGAACTAAATTTAATTTCTGTTAAGTTTTGTATATTTACCAGTACATGTATAATTGATGACAGACTATGTGTATCATGTATGACTAGACTAAAGATATATGAAAGTAATTCTTAAATCTAGGTTTGCCACATAACATTTCAGGTACTCACTCTTCTTATTATGGCCATCATTTCCGGTTCGATACAATGTTGAAATAAATTGTGTGATTGGAACTCTACTGTAAAATCTATCGTACTATAAAATTCTCTCTCTCTATATATATATATTTTTTTTTGGGAGGGGTTGTTTACAATTTGTAGAGTTCCACGAAAATTCTAATATTATACTGCCACTAATTACTAATGTGAAAATTATTTTATTGCACTGAAATATCAGTATCGTTGACTTCTTATCACGGAAAGTTTTCAAATTAATGTAGCATCTCGTCTTATATTTACTTTTTATCCTTAGTTGTCATATACAGAAGTATGAAATACCCTGATGTTATGCGAAAGGTACAAAATATTTAAAATTTCACTTTTAAATGAAACATATCGAGCGCATGTGGGAAATATGTTCGATTGAAAAAAAAAAGCTTATAACGGATAAACTTGATACTCTTATTTATATATATATATACATATACATTATTAATTTTCTAAGCCCCATAATTCTGCACCCCTAACAAGATATAATTTACTTTTTTTGTGAATTTTAATATGTATTCCTCACCAGAGGGACGAAGAGTTGCTGTTATTATGATTGGAAAATTTAATTGCTGTATCGAAGATTAAGTTTTACCTAAAAATTGTCTCATGTAGTCGTCTAAAGATTGAGTAAAATTTAAGTACATTATTTTGGACTATTTCTGTTGTAGAAAATGCCATTTGGTGTAAAACCTCAGTGCACTACATGCAGAACAACTGTTTCTACAATGTGGAGAAAAAATGACAGAGGAGATGTTTTGTGTAATTCTTGTGGAGTAAGAGCGTTCAGTCAGGAAAGCAGTGATGGAGACAAAAAGGGGAATGGAAACAATGGCACATGCCCCTTCACTTTGAGGAAAAGTACAAGAGCAAAAAGCTCAAAATTTAAACAACAAGCTCCATTGAAATCCACAAACCCAAAAGGAAAAGGAAGACGAATTATTTTTAAACGAAGTGTAAGTCAGATTATGAATTTTTAAATGTAATTCATCAGTTGCCCCGTTAACTTTCACTTTTCAGGTGGCCATAATTTGGTTTATGTTTTTATGTCTCACTTGATAAGAATTAGAGTCAAATATGAAGTAGTAAGTGGAATTCAGGTGGTTACAATAATTAGTCTAATAATAATAAAATGAACAGGAATAATTAAATTGTAGTAACTTACCTTTAATCAACATTTGTATATAATATATATATATATATATACACACCACATGGTCTTTAGAATTACTTTTTAAAGTTTATTGTTAGATGTTTATAAATCATGTAATTTTAGTGTTCCCAATATTCCAAAATTCAGGTCTTTGCAATTTCTAAATTAAAACATAACATACAGTGTTTTAGGACAAGGACCTATTGGTCCATCTCAACTGTCCCATCCTCTAAACTAAACTAAAACAATTAAATAGATAAAAAAAAAACTTAAAGCCAGTCCTATCATTCATATAATTATCAGGCTTTCTCTTAAACTCACTTAAATTTACTCCTCCGCAACATGAGAAGGTAACTCATTCCAAAGGCCAACTACCCTGTTACACAAATAAAACTCTTAGCTGAAGATGACTCCTACCTGTCAAAATTTATATTTGTCCCCCTTAGTCCTACCATTCTTGTCATTAAGTATCACTATCAGATCCATTTACAATCTTAAACACCTAAATCAGATCCCCCCTAACTCTTTTTTTCTTCAAGAGAAAACAATTTGAGAGATCTTAACCTCTCCTCATATGACAACCCCTCCATAATTCACAACTATAAACACCCCTTACTGTTCATGTATTCATCCAATCTTTTATTAAACTCAGTTAAATATTTTGCCTCCACCACCTTTAAAGGCAGCTTATTCCAAAAACCAATCACCCTGTTTGAAAAGTAATACTGTTTAAACTGCAGATGGCTCCTACGCTCCCAAAATTTAAATTTATGACCTCTTGTTTTATTGTTTTCACTGCTAAACACAAACAAATTTGATGGATCTATATTATCAATACCCTTAATAATCTTAAACACCTCAATCAAATCCCCTCTGACTTTCCTCCTCTCCAGAGAAAGCAAGTTTAAGAGATTTTAGTCTTTCCTCATAGGACAATCTCACCATCCCAGGTATCATCCTAGTGGCTTTTCTTTGAATCTTTTCCAAAAATTCAATGTCCTTCTTGAGGAACGGAGCCCAAATCTGTACACAGTACTCTAAATGAGGCCTTACAAGTGATCTGTACAGTGAAACAATAATATCCCTTGTCTTGTATTTAATATTTCTGTAGATGCTACCCCAAATCCTATTAGTCCCATTGCTAGCTACAATACACTGGCACCATTCTAGTAGTTCTCCTCTGAACCCTTTCCAACAATTCAATGTCTTTCCTAAAGTAAGAAGCACAAGGCTAACACAATATTCCAACTAGTGACCTACACAACGAAATTATAATGTCTTTAGACTTGTATTCAGTATTTCTGTAGATACAGCCTAAAATCCTATTTGCCCTACCAGTGTAACAGCACACTGCTTGGATTGCTTAGGAGACTGATCAACCATTACACCAAAATCACTTTCTTTCATGACACTCTCAAGGTTATTCTCATTCAAATTATACACATAATTAAAAGTATTATAACCCACTTGCATTATCTTGCATTTATTATAATTAAAACCTATCTGCTATTTATTTGTTCAACTCAATAAATGATCTAAATCCTTTTGTAAATCAGCAGCATCCTCTTTACAGCCAGCAACACCCAAGACTTCAATATCATCAGCGAATTTAAGTAATTTATTAACAATTTCTTCAACTATATCACTGATGTAAATTAAAAAGAGCAAAGGTCCAAGGACTGAGCCCTGGGGTACCTCTCTTTTGATATTAATCCAGTTTGACTGAACTCATTTATAACAACCCTCTGCTTTCTTCCATCCAGCCACTCTTCTATCCATTTAGCTAACTTATCCCCCACACCTATAGATATAATTCTTATAAGCCTTTTATGTGGCACCTTGTCAAATGTTTTCTAAAAATCCAGATACATCAAAACTACACCCTTACACTCATCTACATAGCAATAACCTTTTCAAAGATTGTAAACAAATTTGTAAAGCAAGATTTTCACTTAGTGACTATCCAATAAAATTTGAAGCTTTGTTAAATGACTTTGCAAAGAATCTTTTATCAGACTTTCCAAAACTTTTTCCCATAACTGATATAAGACTTATGGCTCAGTCACTTACTGCTCGCTAGATTCTATTGCTTTTAGGGATGTGGTCCTCCATTACTGTACTGATCCCTCTTGGTCATGCCCATATGAGATCCCTTCAGTGGTGCTTCACTAACGACAAAACCTTGCTCGGGATTTTTTTTCCGCCACCATTTCCCTTCCTCCTTCCCTCTGAGATGACCTGCAATGGTGGCTGGACAAAGCCCATATGTCGACGGGTGGGCCACTTCCTCCCCCACGTCCGGATCTACATCTTTTCACGGATGCATCCCTTCAAGGATGGGGGGGGGGCATGGGTCAATCAACAGTAAGCTTTGGGCCATTGGTCTGCAGTCAAAACCGTCTTGCATATTAATGTTCTTGAACTTTTAGTGTTACAGCGGCCTCCTGCTGACACTTCTTCAACCACTGGAATTGAACCATCACTTTCTGGTTAACATGGCCTCGTGATACTTATTACACACTCACTGAAGTTGATCCATCACCTTACTGAATGATGTGACCTCTTGATACACTTTACATATAAAATGGGGTTGAGCCATCACAATTGCAGTCCCCCCCCCTTCTATTGGGAGACCTCACCCTACCTTAATGTGGAAGCCAGTTCCCAGTTTGGATTAAAGTGAACCAATCAACATAAGTCCTCACACGTGTATGGGTTGTCTACCTTCCTCCCCCAATTGCTCTGTCTGTGTCTTTGTCACAGCAGTAGTACATGGGATTGTTCTGGTGCTATCCTTGACTGTCCCTTGTTCTCTTCTTATGGGGATATTATTGCCTTTGGATGGTGCCAGCCTGTGCCATGGTTGGGGGAGTTGCTTCCATGCGATAGACATCCTTTCGATACTGGATGTCAATTCTCAGATTGATTGATTGATGATGATCTTTGAGGCATACCCAGAAATCAGTGTGGGTCTTAATCCCCGATTCTTGGGTTTGAGGTGAAGATTGTATGATCCTCATCCTACTCTCACATGGATGTCAGTACCCCATGAGGAGGTTTTGGATGTAGTTGACTTACTGAGTATGGTGTACCACACCAAACCCACTCTATACCTCACAGTTTCTGCCCTTGTGCATTACACAATCTACACATGGGCAAAGAGTATACCTGGCTCAGAAGTGATGTGGTTCTCCTCTTCTGATCTTTGGATCTATATCTTTCATTGTCAGGGGTATCCTTCATATGCTTTCAGGGGTACATCTTTAGTTCCCTTGCACCAGTCCTTCCTTTTTCTCAATGTGGGATTCTAGCTAATCTGGTGAGTAGAGGTAAGTACCGTATCAGAAGTAATAATTTTCCTATACTGAAATACTATTGGAAATACATTTTCAGTATAGGAAAATTATAACTTCCCCATCTCTTCAGTACTCTGTCCACATTAAATAACCTATAACTCTGTATTTCAAAGAAATTTCTGTCATCCAAATCATCTACATTTAACCATGTTTCAGTTATTCCCATTATATCAAAATCGTTCATTACTACCAGTGCTCTAAAGTCATCAGTTTTATTTATTATACCTCTAGCATTACAATAGTAACAATTAAGCCTATCCTTATAACT